GTCTCCCCGGGCCTCGCCCGCCCCCTTGCCGCCGTCCCCGCCTTGGTGAGCGCCGCGCCGCCCGCCCGGCTCTACGCTGCAGCAGCGAAGTGAGTGCCTCTCCTTCCATCCGAAGCAGCTCTCTCGGCTGTCGGGTGTCCTGCTGGTGGTGCGGGGGGGAGCGTGTGGTGGTTTCGGTGTCTGCAGCGTTGCTTTGACAGCTGAGCTGGCCTTGGTGGCATCCTGCGAGCTGCCGGCTCCTAGAGAAACAGCCTGGAGAGAGAAGGGCTCAGCTGGGCTTGCAGGGAGCGTTTTCTGTTACTCTTACAATAACGACTGTAACAGTTACGGGGAAAGATTTACGTCATATTTTTGATGTGTGGTTTTGGAGGGTATGGCTGGATTACAGCTGAAGGGGTGTGAAAGCTGGTGAGGTTATGGAATCTGTTTCAAACAGTTCCTCTTCTTGCTTCAGGTTGCCTTTTATTGTTGAATTTGTTGTCTCTTTAAGTCCCATGTTACGGCGTAAGTGGGAGAAGTAAAAACGAGCTCTGTGTACGAAACAGTGAAGCGTGCTCTACACCAAGTGTTCTCAAGTGTTGTGGACTTCTTCACCGTAGTTAACAGAGGAATGGAGTATCTAGCTATTACTTTAATCTATCTTTCCTTGATTTGAGAGCCTTTGAAAATAGGTAGGAGAATAAGGATTGGGGCTAGGGTGTGTTAACTGCACGTGAAATGATACAGGAGAGGGAGGAGAAACCTTTTTTGAAAGGTGGGGCTACTGTGATCCACTATAAGAAGAAGAAAAACCCTGTGGATGTGGCTCCTTCCGATTACCGGGAAGGCGTGTGGGATTTGCTCGATTTAGAAGCGGGTCGGGCCTGCTACCGGCCCATGTGAAGGCAAGACCTGGACAAGTCGGTGTGATCTGTTAAAATGGGTTTGCTTTGATGCAGTAGGAGGTTGTTAACTTGGTTCCATGCTGCACAAAAGTGGTTGTGTTGTTTGAGGGGCTTAACTGCCTTCAGAGCTTTTGATTAGCGAGTGTTTGGTTTCTGTCTTGGTTTCCAGTTTCGGTATGTACTGGAAACCAAGACTTGTTTGGTTTCTTGTCTTCTGAGACAAGTAACCGTGATGGATTTAGTTCACCTTTGTGTAGAACCTTCCTCGTTAACTAATTGTTGCTTAACAAGTGGCACACAACAGTATCTACTTTTTTGTCTTGGAACAGGTGCCAAACTCTTCACTTGATGATCTAACAATATTTTTTGGTTGTCTTAGAACTGCAAAAAAAGGTTCACAAAAGACCAAGAAGGAAGAAACGAAAAAGAAACCAGTCCCTAGGAGGCGGCCGCTGATGAGCAAGCCTGTGGATGATGTGTACTTGACGTGGTATTATGAGCGGCCATCCTACGGTGTGGAAGAGGCTGTGGGTATGCTAAAGAAATTTCAGCAGCTGGACTTCACTCACCCCAAACAGTTTGTCTACATTAACGTCTTCCTCGATATGGCACTACAGAAGAAGGTAGGTTGGAAGCCTATACAAATTTTGATCCTTTTTTCCTTTTTAACGTGGGAAGGCTGTGTTTTACGTGCAGAGCAGATGCTGCTGGTAGCCTTCTCGGCTGCCTCTTGCAGCTTCTCTGCCTGTCAGAATAGTGTGTCCTTTTGCAGGTGGCTTTGTGCCTTTATACGTGTATAATTATTAAATGTCCCTCCTACTCCTGAGGTGAAGATAGCACCACTGAGGATTTAGAAAGCAGGCTATTAGGTGACTAAAATTCACGTCTGGACAGAACGGATCAAACTAAGCTTTACATCTGTTTGGGCTTTCCACTGAAAAAGATGTGTTACCAAAATCACACGTGTTTTGTTCTGGGATGAGGCTTACAGGGAGCAATATAAAGGCAAGCTTCTTCCCGCCTCTGTCCGTCACCTTGTTTTGATTTTATTTTTAATGATGTTTCTTGAAAGTATGCTATTGCTTGTTTGCCTGTGACGTTTTTGATTTAAAGGTGTCTAGCCCAGTTCAGTCTTTCACTAAAATTCCTTCTGCTTCCCTCCTAAGCAGAGAACAGTTAGGCTGCTTTAGAGTTGGTTTCTTGGCGTGTGTAACTAATTACCCCTTTGGTGTACCAGGGCTCCCTTACAGCTAGAAAATAAGTCCACGCTTAAAGAAACACAAAGCTCGTGCTCCTGCTTTTGGAGGCTACGTGGTATTCTTAAGGCTTGGCGAGAGACGCGTTCCTTGCCGATGGTTTGCAGCGGCCTTTGCGTCAGAAACGTGATTTAGAGAAGCTGCAGCTACAGCACCTCAGTGTTTGTTATTGACTGCGCCTCGGCCTGGTAGCAATCCTACACTGGAGTCGCTGATCCCAGCCCCTTTCTCTTGGGTAGACTGCAGCGTAATTAATTCTTGTCTCGTAAGTTTAGATTTCGGTATGTACTGGACATTAAAAAAGCAGTCACAACTTAAGCATCATGCTTGTTTGTTATGACCTCTGTGCAAGGAAATTGTGGGCAAGATTGCTGTTTAGGGGACCAACTCCATGCGATTGGGTAACTGGCCCTTAAGTTGTGATTTCTTTTGTTTGTTTGTTTTAATATCTTTCTTTATTTACTTTTTAGAAAAAAGTGGATCCATTTGCAAGCACTGTTCTTCTTCCGTATCGCTTTTCAGATGAAGTGAATAAGGTCTTGGTTTTCACAGAGGTGGGTAGGCCTGAATTACTTGCTCTATATGTTTTATGTATCGAGCATGCTCTTACGACACAACGAGTTCCCATGCAAGTGCTATACCTTTGATTGGGAAGACTGCGAATGCTTTACGGAACTCTTAAGTCTGTCTAGGATTAGTCTTCAGCAGGGCCTTAATGTACTAACAAGCATCTTATAGGATTTCCTTCATCTGGATAGGTTTAGGTATATGTAGATTGTTCTAGCAGTGCACTTAGGGAGTAAACATCTGCATGGATGTGGCGAAGGAAGAGATGATGAAAGATGATTTAGAGAGTAAAACCTTTGTCACCTGTTGGTAACACGGGCAGATGGTTTAGTGCGGCAGCCATGTCCAACCCTGCTGTCTTAAGCCTCAGCAGGCAGTGCAGATGAGAAGGGGGTGCTACTCACCGTAAGCTGTGCTGTAACAGGAGAGCTTTGGGGGAGGAGAGGAAGAAAGTACTGTCTCCTCAGAAACCCTAAACAACTCGACAGCCCCCTACCCTTTGCTCTCCTAGGAGTTGGGTCATGTGAAATGATGTGTAGAGCAGTTGTAGCATCTGTACGAGACTGATATCAGCCTCCGCTGCTCTCCTTTGCCGGTTCATCATTCTAACGGAACAGACGTACGTATGTCTGTGTGAGATGATCCTAGAGAACTGTCACAGATTTAGCCGACTACCCTTTGCGTTAATTTTTGTAAAATTCCCTACCTGAGCTACAAGGTGAGAATCCTCCTACGGAACGGAGGGCTGACAGAAAGACCTGAGCGTGCCAGGTTCTTCGGTGCTGTATCTCCCAATCTTCTCTCTTCACTGAAATTCAGGTGGGATAAGGGATCCCCTGCCTTGTGAAGGGGTGTGTGTGTGGAGAAAGGTTGAGCCACTGAAACGCTGGTGCTTTTGGATGGAGGTGTGGGGCTGTTGAGTTTCCTCATGTGAGGAAAAGTTGATTCTGGCTTGGGGTCAGGAATATCTGCTTGTATCAAAAGCTCAAGCTGAAGTTTTTCCCGAACTGATGCCTTTTACCTTTCCGTCTTTCAGAAATTTTGCAGCGGACAGATGAGGTTAACTTCTAAATGCTCTTTGAAGCTCGAGTTTAATAGCACTTTGAGAAGTTGAATAGCCTTATTTTCCAGTGGTTATTAGAGCACATTCTGTGCTTTTCTTTAAGCTTGGAGTAAGACGTTGGCTCCATCCAGTGGTTGGTTCGTTGTAGTTCCCAGGGGATGGAGGGGGGAGAGAAAGGCTTTTGACAGAGCCGCTCAGCAAAGGGGATGGGCTTTTCTCCTTCTCCAGAAGTCGACTAAAGATTTGACTGCTTCTTATTGGGACCTGGAGTCAAGTGGAGTTGCTGCACCTATATTAAATCGCCAGCATTTGATATTTTCGGTCCTGGATTGCCTTAAACCGTTCTTTCGTTTTTAACCTGTAAATAGCCTGGTTTTATACCCAATCGTCCAAGGTAAATCACCTATCCAGGGCTGTCGATATAGACTAATTGGTAGTACAGATGTTACTAAATATTTTTTTTTTTTCTCTCAACAGAATGAGCAAGAAGCTGAAATAGCTCGAGAGAATGGAGCTGCTGTTGTGGGAGGAGTTGAATTAATCAAATGGGTATTTATATATATATATTTTTTTTTAAGACTTACCTAAATATCCTAACTTAAACAGTGACTGAGGTGGAGGGAGCAAGAAACCTCATGTCCAGTAAACTCTAGCTTGAAGTTAGCAGGCGATATAAAGAGTGAGAGATGGGTTTCTGCGGTCAGACATGCTTGTAGGTCAGCTTGCGTACTGAGTTCGTTTATTGTATTCCTAAATATATTTAATTTTATAATTGCAGATTTTGGAAGATGAAATCCAAGTGGACTTTTATGTAGCTGTTCCTGCAATAATGCCTAAGCTAATACCGTTAAGGAACAAACTAAGACGAAAATATCCAAGCACAAAAAGAAGTAAGAAGCAATTCTTATAAATCTCAAGTACTGAACAAGATTGAACTCTAGAAGCGACACTGAAACTTTTTTGATGAGCATGTATAATTACATTGAGTATTAGACTGTATGTGACTGCACCACTTGTTTTGTCTTAGGTAAGAGTGGTTTTAGGAAGCTAGAACTGCGCTTTTCTCCTACAACAGGCAAATGGGGGATTAGAATCAAGATAAGTCTGCCTACTAGTTGCCCCTGTGCTTGTTAGCCCTCATGAACCATAAGAGTATTGTGAAGTTACCCAGGAAAATGGAAGCAAGTTGAAAAAAACACAATCGGTGAGATAGTTGCGTTGTCTAACTGTTGTGCAGCTGTTTGGATCCCAGCCTAGTGACCGCTACTGCTCCTTCTGCCTGTTCGTTACTACTCAACGACGGAGTTAGTTATGCTTTTCCTTAGTACCGCCTGCTCCCTTGCTGGTGTGGTCTCTGCTTTTTCATAATGCTCAAGGTCAGGTTTTCACAGCAACAAACATCAGGCTCTCAATACTTTTGTCCTCCCTTCCTGACTGACTTTATTTTAGCTGTGTCAGGGGTCTGTTTCAAATATGGAAATAAAGGGGGCTGTTTTTCAAACATAGAGCCTGTGCCAGCTGTGTGAAGCACTGAGTCTTGACCTGTATCTCTTACTTCCCTGCCCCAGCTGTCTTCAGGTTTTACAAGCTGCAGGCAGTGTTTTTAGGCTCCTAAACATTTGAGACGAACCTATTAACCTGGCTAAAACATTGCAACAGCGAATACTCCAGATAATTTTTGGAACAAATGAAAGATATATTATGCCATTATCCATGTTCTTGGTTTGTAGCTTATCCGGTGCTAATTTCTCTTGGAGCCATCAAAAGATGTGTGGGAGAAGTAAAGCTTGTATTTTAAACAACTGAGCGATGGTGCCAGTCTGTCAAATGAGCCCTTGCGGCTGAGATAAGAAACAGCTGTCTGGAGTTGTGGGAATGGCTGGATTGGGCCAGTGTGCTCCAGGTAGTGCGTAACCGTGCTATAACCTAGCTGTAAACTTCCTTTTCAAGGAGGACTTGGGGCTTGTTCTAAACCGAACTCAGGAGGTTTTGGTCTTTCAAGCTGCTTTAGTTGTATTAGGTAATAAAGCTTTGTTTTATGTATACATAAACAGGTTCTTTATTTGAAGTGAAGCCTTTGTTACATTTCCTACTGTATTAGCTATTCATGTCTGCTGATTCATGAGGAAGAAGGGAAGATAGAAACGATTTATATAGTATGTGTGAGGACACCATTGTCTTGTCTGTGAAACTGCTTTTTTGATTGGAGTTTAACCGCCTTAATTGAAAGATTGAATTCTCTCTTCACTAATATTGCACTTAGCCACGCTACAAAGTGTTACTCAACTTCTTTGCCTTCTTGTTTTTTTAATTAGATTCCCTGGGCCATGATATTCCCAAAATGCTGCAACTCTTCCGAGAAGGTCTTGAGTACATGGTAGAAGACGAGCGTGTAATCAAGACGAGAATAGCAAGAGTAAGTTGTATCTAGAGTTCTTAAGTTTTCTCTACTCACCAGAACTGAAGTTAATATTAAAAGAGGGGGGAAAACATGGCTTTAATCTGTGTGTTCCCAAGGTTTTTAACCATGTTGTTTAATTGACGTGTGAAGTAAATGGAACTCGTACTCTTCCTTGTGTGACATCTTCGGCTGATGTGAGCCCCGTATGTTGTTAATGTGTGGTCATAGAAGATGGCTCTTCTAAAACTGAGAGCAAGGCATACCTGGTGCTACGAGGTTAAGGATGCCAGGAATGGGATCTGTATTTGCCACTAGATTGGCAAGGAATAGTAATAATAAACAAAACGGGATGAAAAAGGTACTATTCCTAGGAATCTCCTCCTGAGTTGACATCTTAACATAGGCTTCCCTTTCCTCCTGCCTTCCCCAGAACTCTTCTGTGAGTGAAATCAAGCTTATTGGGTGTTTTTTTAAAGTAAATAAACTATGGGTTGTAAGCCTGTGGTCAGTGAGCACAGGTGGATCCCAAAGTGTTTGCTTTAATCTAATAATTAAAGACTCATTTGATTTTGATAACTTTAGTCCTGGACTGAAGCAAAAAGCAAAAGCTGTTTGCATTACACCTGAAATGTAAAATCAATTTGTGCTTTGCTGTGATATAAGAAATGGGGTCATATAAGAGTATCTTTTTCTCTCTTTTTTTTTTTTTTAGTCCCTTTATATGTTTTCCTTAATGTTTTGGCTTTTTGGGGGTGTTTTTTGGTTGTGTTTTTTTTTAGTTTATTTTCCCAGCTCCAAACTGTGTTTTTTGTTTTCATTCTGTTTTGTCTGTTTGTAATCCTGCCAGATTTTTTAATTCCCCTTTAACTGATACTGGCACAGAAAGGAAGCATACAAGATCCCCAACCCCTGAAGCTTTGCCTGGCGGTGTTAGAGATCGGCAAGTTTATGAATTCTGGCTAGCTGCTCCAAGTTGTACATGTGAATTTCAAGGGTTTGCTCATTTATATGATACTCAACGATACTCAAAACTGAGGTTCTTGGGACTATTCTGCTCAAGTGTGTTATAGATGGGACTTTGGTACAGGCAAGAATTATCTTTAGCTGTTTGTAAGTGAAATGGACTGTGTGAAATGCCTCGAATCCATAGGTAACTCTTGGTTTCAAGTATTGTGACTGTCTTTAATTTTTGCTTTGGACTGCTTAAACCTTAGTCATTTTATACTGTAGATGAGTCTAAAAAATACCTGCAAATTAAACTTATTTTCAAGTTTCTTCTTGTGTAGTAAAGAAGAAAGATCAGTTCTTTGATAAAAGTGAATGAAGAACTCTCATGTCTTGACAGTATTCAGCGCAACCGCGGTTGGTTCTGCTTAGCGTAGCGTCCTGCAGCTGTGGCTGGTGTTTTCTGAAGTTAAAACCACGTCCTGTTATTGATGTAAGATGTCGGTGTCACAGGTGACCTTAGGTTCTGTGCCCAGGCAGCTCAGCCCTGCAGTTTCCTGGCACTTCAAAAGATTTGGCGCAGCCGGAGATGCCACCCTGTACGAGTAAACAATAGTTTCTTGTGAAGGGACTCTTAATCGTGGGTCAGAAACAGCATGATGAGGGTTTACTTACAGAGTTCGGATGTGCTAGGTTGATGTCAGCTCCGTGGCAGAGGTGACTCCAACACTGCGTACTCGGCGTGACGCCCTCTGTCACACTGTTGTGTGTTGAGTTGTGTGCGGAGGGATGACTCGGTGGTTAAGGCTTGTGTTAAATGTCTCCACCCTCTCTAGCTACTCTTCTTTACCTGACCTGGTTTTCCTACTGTTTGCCCAGCAGCGCTGGAAGGAAATCGAGTGCAGGCCAGGCTCTGGGAGGCTGTGAGAGCCTTGAGTGGTTATGCATATCTGCTCAGCACTAAATCAAGAGCTTTTTACATTTAAATCTCGTCCATCAGAAAATAATAATTTATGAATTACACAGAAGCATGAAGGTCTGTTGCTGTATTCCAAACAGTAGCGTAGATGTTTCTGGGAGTCTGCCAAGCTGGTGTTTCTCAGAGGTGTTTTCCCTATAGTGCTGCTGTCTCCTGTTGCCTGCTAGTTCAGTTACGGCCAGCGGCCTGATGTAATGCTGCACTCCCACGTCAGTCAGCAGCCTCAGTGGTGTTTTTATAGTCGTAATTGAGATGTCTTGGAAAAGCCCAGAATTTGGCAGCAGGTAAGTTTAATTAGTAGATCTGAAGTTGTGAAACTGAGAATGTAAAATATTATTTTAAGACACGGGGCGTAAAGCAGAGTGAGACCAATGAGGACACTCGGGATACCTCCTTCAAAATCACGCTGTCTGCAGAGGGCAGCTTCAAGTCGTGTTTTTGAGGGTTTCGACACAAGTCTTGAGTCCGGACAGGGTGCTGTTGATCGTTACAAATTTTTTTCTCCCAAGTTGGAGTCGTCTTTACAAAAATCATAGTCCAAATGTGACACCAGGAAGGAATTTCGAGTGTATCATCCTGTCTGTGCAGAGAGCTGCCTGCGAAATGGTGGTTCTCTGGAAAAGAGTAAGCTCGTTTCAGGAGGTGGGACTTCAAGGTTTGTTCAGAAGGATGTATTCTCTGGGAGGGGGCACTTTTACGGGAGCACTGTTTTATTCACAGGGTTAGAAGCGTGGAGAGATGCGTACTGAGCCAGAGATCTCTCCAACTTGGAACACAGAACGTACAGGTGCATGGAAATGAGAGTGAAGGCAGGAAACAGAAATGCCAGTTTGCACTGGAAGTAGCATCTACCTCCCTTGGCTGTTAATGGGATTGAAGGCCTGAAGTGTCAGTGTCCCTTGAAAAAGAAAGAAAGAAAAAAAAAAACCCCAACCTAATGGATCCTTAGCTTTGAACTCCTTAAAGAGGGGGGAGAAATCCCACAGTTGAGGAAGAGCTGTTAAATCTTGCCATTTCGAATGCTTGAGGGTTGAAATATGTTTATTGGGGGATGAAAGGAATAATGCGAAAAGCACAGGTTGTAACAGTTGTGACCTGTTTGAGCTGCTCTCTATTTGAGATATCACCTGGGAAGGCTGGCCTGACTGCAATGCCATTTCTGAATGATTCCAACTACAGACAAGCCTAGAATGAGAGAGAGATTCAGCCTCAGGTTACGCACCTCGGAGTTGAAGGGGTTGCGTAGGTCCTGAGGGTGCGTGCTGGACTGTACCTGAATAATGTCTTCTTAATAGTCTCGTACTGGCAAAAGGCTCGAGCTTGGAACAAAACGGGACCAAGGATGTGGAAAAAGTTGTAGCAAGTTGAACTAGGAATAGGAAATAATGCTTTACAACAGCCTCAGTGAGGGTATTTCTATGCCTCCTTTCTTTTTTTCTTTCCTGCAGACTGCGTAGGGCTCAGAAATGCATCTACCTTAAGTGCCAGGATAAGAAAATGCTGTCTGCACGGTCCATGTTATTATAGGCTTTTACACAGAACTCTTGTGTTTTCCCTTAATCTGACCTTCTCGGGAAGATGCAGAACTGAGCAGAACCCTATGAAAGCAAGGCAACACAAAATACATCAGTGCTCTTCTCTTATTGATACTGTCAGTCCTCCCGATATCTGTGCAAATGGTGCAGAAATGTTGTTCTGCCATGTTTGTCAACGCTTAGCTGTTGGTTCAGAGGCTCGCTTTTTGTTCTGAAAGCGGAGATGCGAGTTTCTGCCCTCGCAGCGTAACGGAAGATGCTTCGTGTCCAGAATAACAGCCAAGCGGAGTTGTCGCGTTATGCTGCGGCAAAGCAAAATAAAACTCCTTAGGAGTAGCTCTAAACCTGATTTTTAAAATAGGTGTAGGTAACATTTTGTGTAGAGGCATTTGAAGACAAGTTCTTGGAGTTTGGTGGATTCAAGTGTTTTGTGTTGAAATTAAGAGAAAATCTGGTTATATTATAATGATGCAGAGGTTGCACATTGTTATGGGGTGCTGGTCGAATTACCAGTGGTTATTGCTTGGCAGTTTGTTGTGCTCCAGAAATGTCTCGCCTTTGCGAAAAGGTAAAATAGGTGAAAAAGATGAATCTCTTAAGGGACAGCCTGAGGAGACAAAAGGTACCTGCTTGGAAAATAGCGCTATGAACGCATGTCTGGTTTTATTAACTCAGTTCTTGTTTTGCATTTGACTGAAATATAAATATATATATTTTGTGGATAATTGAAATTCTAGATCTTGCTGTTGAGGGAACCCAACCTGAAATTCTGGGTCTCTGTGGGTTTAGTATCTTTAGTTTGTCTCCAAACAGCAGTAGTAGGGGACTTGGAGTAGATTTCTGCCTGCCCCCTGATACCACAACTGTGAGCCCAGTTCAGGTGCTCTGAGAACTGATGTAGTTTGCTGGTTGAATGGTCACCAGGCAGCCCAGGTCTACTGAATGCCACGAGATAAAGCCATAAAAATTCCTGTTCCGTTTTTGGAGTGGATAGTTTTTAATGACTGCCTTGTCTATAGCTTTTCAGAAGAGCTGGTACCCGAGTTGTGAGTGAAGATGCTCAAACTCTTAATGTCCTCATTCTTGCGGCCTTTGCTATAGGAGTTTTAAGTCCTCTTGACTTGATGTGGAAGCCCTCAGTTGAAGAAAAGGCTGGAAGAAACATGGGTGGATCAGTGCTAATACATATTTCTCCTGGCAACCTCAAAAAGGGTCAGGAGGGAGGAGCAGAAAACTGGTTCAGGGAATAGAGCGTGGACTGATCAGCCTTGCTGTACTAGGCATTATTGTAGGAGGATATGCTATAGCATATATTCTTAATACTGCTTGCTGGAAGAAGAGATAGTGTCAGTGAGATAGAGGCTGAAGCTTTATACTTTTTCTCAGTTTATTGAATGTGGTGTGAAATGGCCGTTTCCTGAACGGGAGGTGCCTGTTTCGTTAGATGTGCATGCAGAAAACCAAAAAAGGCTGTCTTTGCCCTGCTCTAGGGAGAACTGGGTCGATTAAAACAACGTGGTCACACAGGTGAGTATTACAGGATGCTCACTGGACACAGGAATGAGGGAAGCTGGGTTGACTTACTTGGAATTTAATTGGTATTTCATATTTCTTCTAGGCAAGCCATGTTTGAGAAATGCAGTTGAAATCATATAGTTTTGTCTGCTGTGGAGTTCTCCTGTTGACTTAGGGGGTACCATACCTGTTAAAAATAGTTTCACTTAACCTTTAAATATTATTTCATACTACTTTTAAATCTATTTTATTTGATTAAATACCTTAAAAATATTACAGAGACTAAAATGTTAGTAGCTGAGATGGTGAAGTTCCTTGGAATAGCAAAAATAGAGGATGACTGCCCCTCATGAATAAAAGGAGGGGTTATTTCCCTTCTCCTCTTTCACTTAATTTGAAGCTGCATGAAGCTTTTCATTGTGGTTTTTTTTATAGAGGAATAGCCCTGTCTAATTTTGGATAAGATGCTATGTTGATTTCATTAGATGCAACAGTAATATGTCCAGACTGCAATCAAGTCAGTGGTTTGCTTTTCTGGGTTGTTTTTTTTTTGTTTTTGGAGGACCAGTGCTGGCAAATGATAGGTGTGCTTAGAGAAGGTAATAAGCAATGGAAGTGCCATTCTTGGTTAGTTTGCATCAGCGTGGCTTTTAATTTTTGCGTAGTACGTAGCAAAGCCGCTTTTTGGATTTGTATGATGGATCAGTCAGTTGCAGATTGCAGTTGATGCATACATTTGTGTATACGTTAGTCAATGCATGACTTGAACTTAAGAGTTGTCAGCTGTGGGTTTTTGTTTTTTTTTTTAGCCTGGGTAGTGAAACCATTGTAAAACAGGCTATAAACTGAAGAAATAGATAGAAATTCCTATCAAAAAACTTTTCCCTCTTGGCTTTATTTCGATTCCATTAATTTTCTGTTGCTCCATCTTTCTTTTTTGATGTATAAATGATAGTACTGGATTTTACTTCATTTTATTTAAGTCGTCTTTTATTTGCTGGTTCTCAGACCAGATTCCTTAAATATGGTTTAGAAAGGCAGTTCTGTGGTGAAAGCTAGTGCTTTAATAGCAGGGCATCTTTTCGTTCTTAATTTGCGTATTTAGCCAGCGAATAGCTGAGTGGCTTCTCTGTGTGTTCAGTTGCAGCCTTCTAAAGATCCCCTAGAAGATCAGAAGCATTGAGACTTCATGAATAGGGTTTTAAACATGATCTGTTGTGGTGGAACTTGTGCAAATGTTGCTATATGGATGGGAACCAGAGTGTGTAAAAGGGGTAGATGGAGAACTGGTATATGTTTAGAGCTCGATGCTTCCGTGCACTTTATGTAAAAAGTAGAGATTCCATGTAATATGTTAAAATGGGAAAGAAAAGGGGAAGAAACTTTAATTTTTCAATGATTCATTTGGTTCTGTTGAAGTTCTTAATGCTTTCAATTTTAGATGCTTGTGTTTTTTGAGTTGATCTGTTTTGTGGTCTCTGACAGCTACTTCTAGAAGCTTCTTTCCTCGAATACTTTATTTTAATATGACTTTTGTGGAAGCACTTGTGTATGTATATTGGTTTTGAAGACTTTTTACCTCTTTAAGGCTACATGTTGTTACAGAGCTGTGGGAATTGAATGTCACGAGTAGAAATATGGAGAACAATGATGAGCAGATAACCACGTATAAAATAGTTTTTTCTCTGAGCCATTTGCATAAGGCCGTTAATGGGGTTTGTAACTCCTTAACAGGGAACACAGAGAAATAAAAATCTATCCAAATGTAGAATAAATACGTACGCAGTGCTGTCAGGTTAATCAATCCAGGCTTTCAGTCTCACCGTGGCTAACTTTGCGTTATCCTTTTTCAGCTGGATATGCCTACTGAGCAGATAGTTGCCAATCTCAAAACGGTTATCCATGATATCTGCACGTTCAAGCCAGCAGCTTACGGTAAGTAGCCGTTCTTCTAATGTGGTAGTTGAAGTGACAGCAAACCAAATTAAGAAATGAGTGCTCTTTACCGGGTTGTCATTAAATGACCTTGCTGCTTTGTCTGCCTTGGGACAGGAGGAGGGAGCTGTTAGGCAGCTCGGTAAACCAAGACCTAAGAATTTGACAGCCTGTAAGGGCTTGAATAGCATCTGCTCTTATCAGCGTGAACTCTAATGGCACCGCAGCACTACGTAAGTGTCTGCGTGAGGAAAGGAGCGACAAAGCTAAGTTTGCAGGCTTGATGCTTAAACAGATTAAAGCCACACAAGGAAATCCTTGTGAGACGTGGAGGTCTTCACCGTCTGCGTGCCTTGGTTTTACCCCACTGACGTGACCCTGTTGGGGCTCAACGCGAAGAATCTGAACCCGGATTCCCCCTGCAGTTGCCGTAGTTAAAACCTATGCTTCGGTTAACATCTAGTCTGGTTAGCTACCCTCTTCGAAGGTGTACCGCCTTTTTTTTTTGTTGTTTCTGTTACCAAGATATTTTTAAAACTTCTGCTGCTCCATGGGAAGAGCTGTTAATTTTTTTTTTTTTTTTTTAATTCCTTAGCAAAAGGATTGGGTTACAAAGGAGTGAAGGTGTGAATTCTGAAATATTGTTATAATGAAGTAAACTTTAAACAAATGTCATCTGCTTAGCGGCAGTGGAAATGGTGATTTATGAACATAATTTTATGGAAGAATAGCCTTGTTTAAGCTAAGAAAACAACTTTTTGTATTAATATTGGCTTAAAGCCTGCAAAAAGAACCATCTTGCATTTCTTCCAGTGATGCTGTTAACAGTAACTCCTGTACAGAGAACAGACCATAGAAAGCCAAGTACACATGCCTTTAAAAGCATTTCAGCCCAAAAATAAGTTTAAGGGGTTGGTTGACTTGAAATATAAGTAAATAGAAGCAGAAAGTGGTGGTATTTTTGCTCTTAAAGAGTTTATATGTGAACTACGCCAAGCTAGGTAAGTAAGGGTAAGCTCTACTCGTTTTAGCAGCGTTTCTACTGATTTTGCGGTATCAAGCTTGATTTTTTTTGTGGTGGGTCTCTTACTGGCTTGATTAAAAATATTTGCCGTTTATAGGAAGCTGACTTGATGATGAACACATCTTACCAACAATGGAGTCTAGATATGCTTGCTAACTATCAATCACTTAGACGAGCTCGTTATAGGTACCTGTTCTTTAGTTCCTTTCAGACTTTCCATGTGTAATAGCATGTCTTCGTGCAGCTACGTAGTTATCGCTGAAACGGCATTCCTCTGCAAGTGACTAGATCTAATGCAAGACTAAAAACACCACCAGGCAAATGTTCTCAGGGTATAATGTAGATCTATTTAATTTTCCGTAAAGAAATCTGGCTGGTTTTCTAGTAGTTCTTGTCAAAAGTTTCCCTTAGCATTTCACGGTAGGATCCTGAATTAGGAATGGTTTCTTTTGTGCTCTTAGTCACGTATGAATATTTGGGTGATCAACAAACTTCTCGCCCATATCCTGCTGTTCAGGACTACTTCCCCAAGTGAGTTCACCTGTATTTGATTTTTTTGGAGGAGTGTGTGTGTGTAAAGCTTGGCTTGTATGTTCAAAGGCCCAGGGGCACCAGTGATGTCAACTGCTGGTGAGGTATTGAAGGAATACGGTAGCCACCACATCAGTACCTTCCATGGCACCGGAGTGTGAATTGTGTTGTGAACCTGATCTACCAGGGCGGATGTTGAACTCTCTGTACTGAAGGGATGTGCCTACAAGAATAGTTCTGATTCTGGTCATGAGCTTGACACAGTGGGGATTAGTACTAAGATACATCAGCCCGGAGACACGAGAAGTGGTAGAGTGACCGAATTGGTGGTGTTCTTTGTCTTCTAGGTCCTTTTGTGCAGAAGTTGGTTATTAGATCTTCAACCAGCGAAGGTTTGCTCTTGAACCTCGATGGACTTCTACCTCAGGTGGAGGCAGTAGAAGAAGAAGAAAAAAATGCAGAAGATAATGAAGAAAAACACGTCCAAGAATCTGTTACTACCTGATGTCTTTGCTTGTAAACCTGATGATCAAGCTTGGAAAGCAAATGGTGTAATTCAAATCATACTTTATGAAAAGAAAAAAGTAAATCTCACTTGTGAATTTCACTTGTAAATTCTGTGGAACCAGAAACATTGTCACAAACAGGAGTCTGTTGTCAAACTGAAGGCCTTTTAAATTCCTTTTGTTGCTCTCTGGAAGCTCCCTAGTTTGTGTGGTGTTTTGCTTTGCACGTAATACTTTAATAAAAGTATTTCTGTAACTTCTGAAGTATTGCCATCTGATTTCCACAATTGCAGCCGAAAGGCCGGCACATCTTACATGCATAACGCTGGGCGTTTCACTCTGAAATTGCAGGATGTTCAATGCTTTCGCTGTCTTGACTCAGTCCCCCACAGAGCAGCGAACGCAGTCACTTGTGGAAAGCTGCTGTGTGTCTCGCCCATGAAGGAAAGGACTTTTTATTTACCATTCCATTTCCCTGCTGAGTCGGACGTGGTGTTCCTTTTGAGTTGGCGGGAGTAACGTCTGCATGATGCTTGCGGTAGCTCGCTTTGTTTTCATTTAATCTGCGTACGTAGATACTGGAGGGGCATACAGAGGATTACTGCTCTGCTCCTTGGAGCCTCTGAATGCAGGTTAGTCTTTGTGACAAATTGTAATAGGTGAGGGTTTTTAAGGAAAAATGGGATGTATTCTGTGGGAGGAGTGATCGTGCACCTTGTCGTTCAAATAATGCTATTTCATCCGTGCATAACTGAGACGGTGCCCCTTAGGATCCGGTCAGTTGGTGGTTAGTTTGTAATTCTTAGTCCTGGGAAGGATTATGCTTAAAATGTTTTGGGATGAAACCTGAGTGAAGCTACAGTGTCGCTTTCTTGTCTGTTTTCTATCATAGAGGTTCTTCTTGATGGGCTTGGGATAAGTGGATGGGTTTGGGGGAAGTGAGGGCGTCTTCACAATAAGCAGATGATTTCTTTTTCGATACAGGTGACTCTCAGAGGAAGACGACTGTGCTATGCTTCCCGATGAGATTTTTGGGTTTTTGCCTAAAAATGCTGACTTAAAAATGATGCCTTATGTGGATTTCATGTGTTATTGTCTGGAGATGAAGAGCAGGTACATACGGGGAGCAGTGAGTAGCTAGGAGCCGTAGGGCTGTGGTCCCGTGCTAGGTTACTGATCTTAGAGCTGCACTAGGCTCTGTAGACCTGGCTGGAAGACACTGATTTTTTTAGCGGCTGGATGGAGGCTCCCCATCCCCTCTGCCAGCGTACGGGGGTGGGAAAAAAAGGCTGCGAGGGTCACCTGTGGTTATCTACCTGCTTAACTTTGCTCCTCTGACTCTTAGTAGCTATGCATACCACTTAGATTTGGTGGAAAATCTTGAAAATGAAGTCTCTCTAATTGCAATGGAGGCCTCTGTCAGCAATAGCACAGCTTGACGTTAGTGGTCGATTCCCAGTGTATGAGTTGAACTCTTGCCAGGGTTTGAGCTCTTAAACGCATCATAAGGCTCAACTTGGCGATGGTTCCGTTTTTGGCACAATTATCTTTTTGTTCTTTGGGGCTGGTTGGTGTGGGTCAAAGAGATGAAAACCGAAACACCAACCCTTTTTTGCAAGAACCAGCCTTGAATGTGCTTGCGATGTACCCCTACCGTCCTGCCTGATTTAATTCAGTCTGTGGCAATTGCCGTGACTTCTTATTTTGCTTGCCTTGTTTTCCTCCAGCGGAGTTCTTAAATATAAACTGGACACCAGCATAAATATCCATGCATCTTTTAACTGGCTGTGTAAAAATCGGTGGTTTTGGCTTTGCTGCCATTTTTTCCCCATGTTTTTCCCCGTTGTTTCCAGCAGGTGGCATTCTTGTTCCCTTCTGTAGAGGAGTTAGGAAAAGAGTTTCTCAGTGGTTTGGGTTTTTTTTTTTTTTTTGGACTTTGTTGCTAAACATACGTTAGTAAAACTGCACCCTAAAATGTAAGATGGTTCCCAAAAGGATTGGCTATTTACAAAAGGGATGAGCTTATCCAAATCTGGTAGGGTTGTTTGTAGTTTCGGCTTGAAATCGTTCCTATTATTGCAGGCAGGGCTCATTTTTCAAAGAGGTTACCCATATCTGTCTGCACAGAAATTCTCGTACCTCCCGTCCGAAGCATTTGGCTGCTGTCAGTCAGGGTGCCCGACAGGTTACTGTTAGGCCACGCTGCTCTATCTTAGATGGCGTGGGGTGCTTTGCTCCGAGTTTGATCAGAAAATTCTCTTAGGGGTTAAGTCAGGCTTCGCGCTGACTTCAGGAGACTTCCTAGGTAGTACGCGGGAAAAGCAGTGCCTCTGCACTTGAATAGCCATCTAAACACATTTTTTGCTACGGGCTGTGCTCACATGCCTCATAGAAAGAAGAAAATTCCATCTTTTGCTTTTCCAAGTGAAGAGTTGATGTGACTGGCAAAAACAGTCAGATGTGTTCGGTGATGTTAACTGCCCCTAGACAACCCATTTGGTCCAAATCCTCCTACACCAGGAATTGGTGATGAGGAGGCTGGTCATGGTAGGCATTTGTAAGTATCTATAGAATGAGTCATGTCTTTTGTTTTTTTTTTTTCTTCCTTTTTTCCTCCTCCTTCCTCTGTTCTGCAGAAGGTAAAGCTGTAGCGTAAAGCTTTCTTAGCTCCCGAATACTGATGTCTATTAATTTCTCCTTTGGAGGGCCAGGCAGGTTTCAGAAGATAGGTGAGTGTAGGTAATCAAGAGGAAACAGTTTTCTTAAATGTTTTAAGTTTGTAGGGGCTTTTTCCCCTCCGCCCTGTGCCTTAAGTAACGGATTATACTGGTTACTGATGGTTGTGTACTGGCAAGTCTAGTCTATGCCAACGTAGATGGGATAGCAGCTTAATCAGTCCGCAGCAAAAGGCTTGATTACTTACCACAAGTTTTACCTAAATGTTTTTTTGAATGCAAAAACATTAATCATGTGGCACAAGCTCCTTATCTGCAATATGTCCAGCTTCGTTAGCTCAAGTACAGCATCCTCTGCAAGTACCTCGCTTAGGCTGTAACCTTTTTCTGCTTGGAGTTTGTGCCGAGGATGCAGGCTTGCATGAAGGGAAAAGATCAAGCCGTGGGGGTGTGCTTTGTTTTGAGGACCTGGCTCTTAACTTAGGTGCGTCTCAAATGGATCACGAGCGGTTGATTTAACACTCGGAATTTTAGCAAAAGGCAGGATATTGTTTTACAGGAACATGGTTTCACCCCGCAAACAACATTTGGTGCCTGTGTGTAAGCAGAGAGTGTCTTTATTACTAAGGAATTACATAAATAAGGAATATTATGAGATATCGTAATAGTTACGTGCTGTCTGCAACCCACAAGGAACAATGTGAAGGTAAGTTACCTGTTGGTGTAGAAAAGCGAGGCTTTTTGGTCTCTTCTCTATTTTTTTTTTTCTTGGCTTATTTCAAAGACTTTACTCTCCGTTATGGAAAAAGGTAGACCTGCCCTTTTGAAGACGGGTGGCTTTAAAAAAAAAAAAAAAAAAGATGTTTAAGCATAAATATATAGGTGAACTTAAATCATAAGCTCTCCGACTGCTGAGTGTACTTTCAAAGAATAGAAGTGTGGAATAATAAACATTCCTGCAGAAATCTATACTTGGAAAATCTGAACACTATGGGAATACTGTAAATCTGAGCCTTTAGAACTCAGGGGAGGAAAAAAAAAAAGTAGTTTATGAACTTAACAAAATTTCAGCTGCATTTGTTCAGGTGTAATCCTGCAGTTCTGAGTACGTGTTACCGTGCTACCAGTTGATGAAGTAGTAATGCCTCTGGTCTGTGTAATACTGAAATAGTGTTATACAGGCTGTTGAATATATTGTGGTTTTTATCCTGAAATGCTTGATTGGCATGGAGGAGAGATGAAAGGGAGGAAGACAACATGAGATTATTCCCCTTTAATAAGCTTCGTCCCAAAAAAATGCAGAATGGGAGTTGTTGTGGCTTAGAATCGAGTGTAATCGTTACACTAAGCATAAATAAAATGGCATTGCTGGCCTCTAGAAATTAATGCTAGCGTACTCATTGCAAAGCGTGGGGTTGTAATGCTTTAGTGGGTTTTCATTAGTTAGAGCAGTATATAAATAGGTTATTGGTCCTGAAAGTTAAGTTCTTGTACGTCCTGTAAAATAAGAGGCACCCTTTTTACCAGAGTTTCTGTTAATGAGTGCTTTATACTCCTTTGGTAGGTAAAAAGAGCACGGATCTTCCGTCAAAAGCAAAACGGCAGTGACTCAGGACCTGGTTACCCAAATATGTGGTGGAGTCCGAAAGGAGGTGTAACCAGGCATCACCCAGTCGGTGCTAGTTGCTTCCGTCTGATGTTACCTGCCGTAAGCGGAAACTTATCTCAAGTAAGTTACTCCAGAGTGAAAGGTACTCGAGGCAGACTCTTTGCACGTAGTTTGGTGTGAGAGGACATACTCTTGGTTCCTGACAAGTTACTAAATGTTGTCTCCCGTTACCAAACCATACCTTGCTGTGCACGCTTGGCAGTCAGCAGGAAAAAAAGGAAGGGGGAGATGTCTGGGCGGGTGGCTGGAAGGACGAGGCCGTCGTCACGGGAAGATTGGTGTGCCCTAGATTTCTCCCAAAGCGCTTCGTGTTTTTCAGTGCATTTACCCTCCCTTCTCTCCTGTCTAATTTTTAGCAGCACAATCTAAGCTATGCTGAACTTGGTTAGCAGCTTCGTTTCAACCAAAAATACTTCTCGGATGTATCAGGTTACGGCATTTGAGGTCGCAGCCTCTTTGCCTCTAAAAGCGCGCTCTTACTGATGGTAAGAAAGCAGGAGTTGATGTACGGGGCTTGGAATCCCCACTATTTATGAGTATCGAACAAGTTCCCTGATGTTCTTTGTGGAAAAAAGGGAGTGCTGCAATACATGTAGTAATGCAAATGATGTACGATTGTGTTTAAAATCATCCTGTATGAAACTGCTGTTAGTTT